CCCCCTTCCTCCTCCAGCCCCGCACCTCCTCCAAGTCGGCAGCGGTGGGCCGCGGGGCCAGGCGCTCCAGGCGCAAGTGCAGGCGGCCGGAGGGGACGTCGTCCAGGGCCAGCCACTGTGGGGGCGGCGGGAGGGCTTAGCACGTGGGCGGGGGCGCTGGGAGATCCCGAGCGATCTGCGCGCTCATCTCACGCTCACCTCGTCCAGGAAGCCACTGCCCAGGACCGCGGCGAGGCTCACTTTACACCTGCGGGAAGGAGACAGATGGCAAACGGCCAGGCTCCGGGAGCCGCAGAGGCCCAGCCTGTCTGCCGGCGGCCCCGGCCCTCACCTGCCCAGAAAGTCGTCCTTGTCCAAGTCCTTGTCAAAGACCTCAGCCTCGAGCTCTTGGCCGGGAATCGAGGTGACGATCACCTAGCAGAGAACAGCGCAGGAGAAGAACCCTCCCTTTCCCTCTGCGAATTACTGCATTCCCACTCCTCCAACCCCGTCACCCGAGGGCAGAAGGTTTTGGGCTGCTGTGGGAGCGGGAAGGAAGGACACACTGAGCCGAGTCCCAGCCACTCAGTTCTGACTTCTTTTGTTTTCTTTTTTTTTTTTTTTTTTTTTTTTGTACAGGGTATCAAACTCAGGACCTTGTGTTTGCCAGGCAGGCACTTGTGCCACTGAGCTACATCCCCGGCCCAGTACTTGACACTTGTACCTTGTTTCGTTTTGATTTTTGTGGGTCTGGGATAGAACCCAAAGCCTTGTGCATACCATGCAACTTTTCTACTACTGAGCCACGTCCCCAGCCCCTGCTCTTTGTGTTTACATCACAGTCATCTTGGACATCATTCCCTATCAGTATATATATAGTTGCCCTATTCTTTTTCTTGGCTATATAATATTCCAAATGTGTGGATGTACACAAATTTTTTTAAAGTTTTTATTTATTTATTTAGTCATTTTGAGGTAAGGTCTCTCTCTGCAATTCAGGCTGGCCTTGAGCCCACTTTGTAGTTCAGGCTGGTCTCGAACTCACTACCATCCTCCTGCCTCAGCCTCCCAAGTGCTAGGATTACAGGCGTGCACCACCATGCCCAGCCACAATGAAGTCCTCTGTTAATGGGCCCCTATGTTGGTTCCAGTTGCTTGTTGTTCTGTGACCAACAGTGCTGCTATGAGAAGCTTTGCATATATGTCATTTCTTCTCTAGGGTCAGCTCTTTAAAAAATGAAACTGTTGGGTGTAAGCTGATCCATTTATACTTTTACTGATTTATTAATCTGTGAAAATATAAGCTCATGAGAGCAAGGGCTTTCTGTCCTGTATTCTCTGCAGTGTCTCAGAGCCCATCCTCATGCTTGGCACATGGGAGATGCTCAGGAATTACTTGCAGCGCTGTGCCATGCCGCTGGTAATCCCTAGCCACAGGAGGACGCTTTATTCTCCACAATCTCGCCAGCACGGGCTGTCACAAAGTGTTTCCATCTTGCTGTTTTTTGTTTTGCTTTGTTTTTTGCAGTGCTAGAGATCAAGCCAAGCAGCACTGTCCTACTGCGCTACATCCTCCGCACTTTTCTTCTTCTTTTTCTTTTTTTTTTTGTTTTTTTTTTTTTTGTTTTTCTTCCAGTGCCAGAAATCGAACTCACGACCTTGTGCTTGCCAGGCAGGCACTTTGCCGCTGAGCTAAATCCCCAGCCCCCTCAGCCTTTTTCACTTTATTTTGAGATGGGGTCTTGCTAAGTTGTCTAGGCTGGCCTCAAATTTGCAGTGATCTTCCTGCCTCAGCCTCCCAAGTAGCTAGGATTATAGACATGTGCTGTTGCACCTGGCTCCATCTTTGCTCTTTTGATGAATGCAAGGACAGAAATCTCAATGGTGTTTATTTTTGGTTTTGTTTAGTTTTGAGACACAGTTTTGCTTTATAGCCCAGATTGCCCTTGAACTCACTGTGTAGCCCAGGCTGGCCTCGAACTTGCAGTGATCCTCCTGCTTCAGCCTCCTAAGTGCAGGGATTACAGGCATGCGCCACCACGCCCAGCCTCGGTAGTGTTTAATTGACAGTTTTCCTCTGTGAATGAGGCTTGTGTTTTCATATGGGAAAGGTAAGGCAGGTTCCCAGCTCTCCTCAAGAATCCTTGACACCTAGCAGGGTATGGCTGTACACACCTGTGATCTAGCACTCAGGAGGCTGAGGCAGGAGGATCAAAGTTTGAGTGCCGTCTGAGCTACATAGTGATTTAGCAAGTCCCTGTCTCAAAATAAGAAATTTTTTAAAGGGGGCTGTTTGTGTAGCACAGTGCACTGGCCCTGGTCTCGGGGCGAGGGGAATAGAAAAGAACAGAAAAGGACCCTTAAAACTGAAGACCCTTCCCTGAGCCGGGGGGCCCCCGCTGCGCCTCAGGACTGCGCCTCTCTGCCTGCAGCTTTAACAACCTGGGCATCCAGTGCGTGCGGAAGAAGGAGATCGAGGCTGCCATCGAGCGCAAGATCCAGCTGGGCATCGACCCCTACAACGGTGAGCCTGTGTCTGCCCACCTCGCCCCTCCCTGCCCTTGCTGGGTCTCGGGTGTCGCCCGCCCTTCCCTTCCTGTCATCGGCCACCACCCAAGCCTCCCTGTCCCCACAGCCGGCTCCCTGAAGAACCATCAGGAGGTAGACATGAACGTCGTGAGGATCTGCTTCCAGGCCTCCTATCGGGACCAGCAGGGACACATGCGCAGGATGGATCCTGTGCTCTCTGAGCCTGTCTATGACAAGAGTGAGTGGAGGGTACCCTGTCCACCAGCACTGTGCTGGCTGCCGTCTCAGAAGCACCCTGCCCCCATGGCATGAATAAATGAAGAATTCTTATTTTTATTTGTCTCACTAAATCTGTGTACACTGATTCAGCTGCTCAGCTGTATCAAGGCTCTGGTTCTTCCATGATTTTTTTTTTTTTTTTGGCTTTTTCCTCATGGGCACAAGATGGCTGCCACAGCTCCAGACATCATGTTTGTGTTCAAGGCATGAGATGGGCAGTGCTACCTTGTATGGTAGTACAGGTAGTACACTTCCTATTTCTGGGGATCAACATTTACTATGGAATTGATAAAAATGGGACTACGTAGTGTCTCTTAGTGTTAGAGAATTTCTAATGTATATACATACTCCAGGCAGCTCTAGGTAAAAGGCATCATAAACAATAATTCCCTTTCTTTTACAGAAAAAATAAAAAATATATCTTTCCCAGAATCCCCTTGGTTAATTGTTTTTTGGTACTGGAATTGAACTCAGGACCTTGCGCTTGCCAGGCAGATGCTGTGCTGCTGAGCTATCTCCCCAGCCCCTAGAATCTCCTTGGTAGACAACTACTGCCATCTCATTGGCCAGACTTGGTTCCCTGGCCACCCCTAGGCAAGAAGCTCTGGGAACGCTGGTATTTAGGCTTCCCACTTCCCTGGAGCTGTACAGACATGGTGTCGGGTGAGGAGTAGCTGTTGGGCTTCAGCAACCTACACTGACTGCCGCAGACATCAAAATGAGGCGCGGCAGAAGGTAAAAGGGGTTTTATGGGTGCAAGTGATAGAACAGAGATAGAGGAAGGAGAAACAGCAGCAGCAACATTTATTTTATTTTCCGTTCACTAAAAGAAGTTAAGAAGCTGCACACTACAGACAAGGCACTGGGGATGTCATTAGAGACCGGTGTTCTGTCAGCTGCATGTCCTCCATGTTTTATTTTGGTTTGGCTTTGGGTTTTTTGAGACAAGGTCTTGCTGTGTAATCGAGGCTGGCCTTGAACTCACTCTGTAGCCCAGGTTGGCCTCAAACTCAATGGCGATCCTTCTGCCTCAGCCTCCTGAGTGCACCACCACGCCTGGCTGTTCCTCCATGTTAAGAGTTATTCTTGCAGTGCAGCTATAAGCGTCTGTCTTACCTGCTTGGCATCTCTGGCTCCCAAAGACAGCTGCTTTTAGCTTTTTTTTCTCTCTTTTTTTTTTTTTTTCTGAGTCTCAGGGCTGTCTCTCATTGGTCTGAGTTTGGTCATTTGTTCCTCTTTGACCAACCAGCTGTGGCCAGAGGGAGATGAATGCTCTGATTGGCCAGATCGGAGCACATAATCAGTGCTGAGCTGGTGCTGGTCCCTCCAGGACCATTGCTGCCAGGACTGCCAGGTGGGAAAAACAAGTATCCACTGCAAGATTTCAGGTCTTGAATCCCGCTCCAGGGACCTCCCTGGGCCCCCTCAGACCTCCCCGCCCCACCCCACCAGCTCTCTGACTGTGAAGGTCCCCTTGGGACAGACACACCACAGACCTCAGTGCCAAGGATATGCCACTTCTGCCTCCCCCATGGCCACCTGGGGTTGATGACTGAATCCTTGTTTTTCTTCATATTTTTCCGCCTCTCACTCCTCCCCAGAGTCCACAAACACATCAGAGCTGCGGATTTGCCGAATCAACAAGGAGAGTGGGCCGTGCACGGGTGGTGAGGAGCTCTACTTGCTATGCGACAAAGTGCAGAAAGGTGAGGGGCCCAGAGGTGCTGGGTAGCAGGGCCGTGGGGCTGGAGGATCCAGAGCCCTGGCTTTGGGGACAGACCAAGTGGGACACTGGAAGCCAGGTGTGGTGGCGCATGCCTGTAATCCCAGCACTCAGGAGGCTGAGGCAGGAGAATTGCTGTGAGTTTGAGGCCATCCTGGGCTACATAGCAGGATGCTGTCTTAGTACAAAACAAAACAAAACAAAAGCACCCAAGAAAAACAAAAACAAGCAAGCAGTTGGTACCCGGGCCCACTTGTCCTTGAGCAAGGGGAGCTGTCTGGGCCCGCGCTGAGGATGATACACAGACAGTTCCGACTTAGGGTGATACAGCTTCCAACTTTTCAGCTCTATGATGGTGTTGTGGGAACAATATACATTCAGTAGAACCCTCTTGCTAAGTCAGTAAGTTGCCCAGGCTGAGCTCAAACTTGGGATCTTCCTGCCTCAGCCTCCCAAGGTACTAGGATTGCAGGCATGCACCACCATACCCAGCTAGGAACTGTATTTTGAATGTTGATCTCCCGGGCTGTTGATATCTGGCACTCCCTCATGCAGCTGGGTGGTCATAGAGAGCCACGGTGCCCAGTCATCCTGAAATCACAAAATCACAAGGAGAGCGCTGGGTGTGGTGGCGCACGCCTGTAATCCCAGCACCCGGGAGGCTGAGGCAGGAGAATTGTTGCAAGTTCGAGACCAGCTGGGCTACAAAGTGAGCTCAAGGTCAGCCTGAACTGCATAGCAAGACCCTGTCTCAAAAAGACAAAAAAAAAAAAAAAAAAAAAAAAAAAAAAAAAAAAAAAAAAAAAAGAGCACCACAAGATGAAAGAGCTGATGCGTCACAGCATACTGTGTTACTAAGTGATGGTGTTGGGCAGGTTAGGTGTGGTAAATGCATTTCTGACTTAACGGTATTTCAGTTAGGATGCGTTTAGTGAGATGTGACCCGATCATTAGTCAGGGAGTGTCTCTATATAAAAATGTGTAAAATAGTTGGCTGTGCTGGTGCACGTCTGTAATCGCAGCACTTCGGGAGGCTGAGACAGGAGGATCGCAGGTTCAAGCCCAGCTTGGAAAATTTAGCTATTTAGTAAGAGCTTGCCTCAAAATTAAAAACATAACAAAGCCCTAGGGGTGTAGCTCAGTGACTGGGTTCTGGGTTCAATCCCCAGGACTACAAAAAAAAAAAAAAGAAGAAAAGAAGAAAAACGTTCAGTGCCTGGCTCACCATAGGTCTCCAGTGGAAGTTGGTGGCCATGCCGATCTGCTTCTTTAGGGATGTTAGGGTTGATCTGGGGGAGACCGAGGGTCCTGACATCGTGGCTCCACACTGCCCCTGCTGTCCCGCAGAGGACATATCCGTGGTGTTCAGCACAGCCTCCTGGGAAGGCCGGGCCGACTTCTCCCAGGCTGACGTGCACCGGCAGATCGCCATTGTCTTCAAGACACCGCCCTACGAGGACCTGGAGATCCTGGAGCCTGTGACTGTCAACGTCTTCCTGCAGCGGCTCACGGACGGGGTCTGCAGCGAGCCGCTGCCTTTCACCTACCTGCCCAGGGACCATGGTAACCTTGTCCGCCAGAGACCAGGCCTTTGGTTGTGCTTGGGCGATGCTGGCAGGGACAGGCAGAGGGAAAGGCAGGCTCAGAGCTCCCTAGACTGGGGCTTCCCTGCCTCTGCCTCCTGTGCAAAGCAACGTAGCGCCTGCTTGTGGTGTCAGGGAACAGCTGTTCCTGCCTGGCCGGTGCAGGGTAGTGCTGGGAATCCAGTGGCAACTAAGACAGCTCCCTGCCCTGCCCTCAGGAGGCTCACTGAGAAGACCAGAGTGGGCAGGACTGGAATGGAGACATTCAAGGGACTTCATGACTAAAGGGGGCAGCCTAGAGGTTAGGGAAGGCTTCCTGGAGGGGGAGCTGCTGAACTTAGGACGGGAGGGTGACTGAGCTGGGCCTCCAGGGCAGTGGTGGGAGTTGAGGAAGAGTGTTTTAAGCAGCTGGAAAGTGCAAAGGTCCTGAGGTAGGATGGCACCTGAGGTGTTCTGGGAACGACAAAGAAGTCAGAGTGGCTGGAAGCAATATGGATGTTTATTTGCATTGGTTTCTCAAGAGCCAGCTCAACTATCTCCTAAATAGTCTCTATGATTGGGTATCAGTTAGTTGCTATTATTGATGGGTCACTGCTTGTATGCCCCTGGCATTCCCGAACAGACACCTACGGTGTGGACAAGAAGCGGAAACGGGGGATGCCCGACGTCCTTGGGGAGCTGAACAGTTCCGGTGTGTCCCCTCTGCCCCCGTTGTACCCATCCCCAGGTCCCTGGGAGGGGGTGGCCACCCCCCCCACCCCGTGAAGGCATTCTCATCTCTTGTCCTCCCTTCCTTCAGACCCCCATGGCATTGAGAGCAAACGGCGGAAGAAGAAGCCAGTCTTCCTGGACCACTTCCTGCCAAGCCACAGCTCAGGTGGGTCCCGGCTCCCTGCAAGCTCCTGCTCCTGCTTTTTTAGCAGCTTCCCCCAGGCCAGTGATGCACCACTTAGCCAGTGCCATGGAGTGGACAGAACAAGGGCTCTGGAGACTGACTGGAGCCTCGGGCCTCTGTAGGGCTGTTTACTTGCTGTGTGATTTTTGCCAAGTTGCTCCACCTCTCTGATCTTCCAGGGCTCCTCTGAAAACTCTAACCACCACTTCACTGAGTCTTAACAATTAAGACAGCCAAGAGCCACATTGCCCTCAACGTTCCCAGTCTTTTTTTTTTTTTTTTAAAGAAAAAAACATAACAAAAGACAAAATTCCAAAACAATACAATAGTGGGGTAACAATGGTTAATACACTGTGTATTGTTATCTTTAAATTAGAGTATGAGATATCAGCATGTAATTGTCCAAACAATATTAGCATAAATCTATCTTTTCAATGAACTAAGAGAAATTAGTAGTATAACTATTTTAACTATCTTTTATTTTTATTTATTTATTTATTGTCTTTTTGAGACAGACTCTCGGTATGCAGTTAAGGCTGGCCTTGAGCTCACTTTGTAGCCCAGGCTGGTCTCAAACTCACACGATCCTCCTGCCTCAGCCTCCCAAGTGCTGGGATTACAGGCGTGCGCCACCACTTAACTATCTTTCATATATATATAATTTTTCCTTTTGCCTTTCCCTTTTCTTCATTTCCCCAACCCAGTTGCTCTTTTCTTTTGAAGTTTTTCCCGTATGTTACCAGTCTTGCCTGATCTTGGAAGTTAGCAGGGTCAGCCTGGTTAGTACTTGGTTAGGAGACTGCTTGAGTGTTGGGTGCTGCAGGCGTAAGAAACATTTTTGAAGCATATTTCTTCTACAGACACTGTGTGCCAGGCACAGAAGTGCTCTGTGTGCGCTTACACCTAGTCTGCACAACCGCCCTGCCGGGTCCCCCTCTTACAGGTGAAAAGGCTGAGGCCCAGAGCGGCGAGGTCACTTGTCCCAGGTCATAGTGCAGCAGGGACTGGGCAGGCAGAGATGAGCCGTGATGTGTGAGGCAGGCGACAGGGAGAACGGTGCAGGTGGGGGCTGGAGCCGGCTAATCTCCAGTTAAGAGCTGATCCCCGTCCCTGTCCCTGTCCCCTGCAGGCCTGCTGTGGCACTGGCCTGCTCCCCACTTCCTTCAGCTCCCAGCCTAACTGGCTGCCCTCTGAAGAAGCCTCCCACCCCACTGACCCCAGCTCCAAAAAAGCTGTCCCCAGCCAGGCCTGGTGGTATACTCTGGGAGGCTGAGACAGGAGGAGCTTAAGTTTGAGCCCAGGCTGGGCAATTTAGCAACTTAGTGAGAGCCTGAGTCAAAATAAAAAATCAGAAAGTGTTGGGATGTAGCTCAGTGTGAAGGCCTTGGGTTCAGTCCCTAGTGTTGTACTACGGGGGAGGGGGGCAGGGAGGAAGCTATCCCAACAGGAGCTAGGCCAGGTTACCTACCAGGTGGGATTCTATCGTCCTCTACCTGGTAACCTATGCCAGTAGCCCCACCCCTAGCAACCACCAATCCCTAGCCCACTCCACCAGCCTCCCACCTCCAATCCCCACAGCTCCCTACCACTCATCTGCCTGCCCAGTTTCTCAAAGTCCTAAGCCCCCTCCTTCCTTCTTGGGTCACAGCCACCGTGGCAGTGCAGTGTGATGGTGACACACATGGCTTCTGGAATCTGCAGGTCAATTCTGAGTACAACTTAGGAGCCGTGTGACCTCTGTGAGCCTCAGTTTCTTCATGTCAGATGGAGACACTATATCTTAAGTCCTTGCTGGTATTTAGTAGGATTGTGTCACGCAGTTATTTAGTACAGTGGCTGGAACAGATTTCATGCCTCGAGTAAGAACATGCCAGATCAGGAATGCCACCTTCACCTGTTATGATCATGTTTAACTGCATTCACAGCGAAACCCACAGTAACAGGATAGAACTTTATTTCTCCTCACCTGAACACAATCCAGAGGTAAGCATTCCAGGGATGGCCTGGTGGCTGCATGATCATAACAGACCCAGGCTCCCGGCAATTGCAATTTGCAGTTGCCACTTCATGGTCCAGGCTGTCTGCTGTAGCTCCAGCTATCATGTCCATATTCCTGTTAGCAGAACTTAGTTACATGATCACATGAAGCTGCAAGGGAGGCTGAGAATCCCAGTAGCCCTGTGGTTTTGGTTTTGTTTTTTTGAGACAAGTATAATCAGCAGTTGCTAATGAGAAGAAGAGGGGTTGGGGGTGTAATTTAGTGGCTACCATGACCAAGGCAGTGGGTTCAGTACCCAGCATGGGGGTGTGTGGCTTTCTTGCTTTGTGGCGCAGGCTGGCCTACTCACTCTGTAGCGCCCAGGCTGGATTTGAACTTGAAAGGATCTTCCTGCCTCAGCCTGCTGAGTATGCTGCCATGCCTGGCCTGGCTCTTATAATGACACTTATTACCTTCCAATTTGGGGGTTTGGGACTATTTCCCATGAAATGGAACTTTCATTTTGTGGGTTCTCCATACTTAGGAGTGGGACTCCTCTTCTTCTTGGCAAAAACATTGTGCAGCCCTACAGGAGTGCAAATTGAGTGCTGGTTCCACAGTTGGACAACTGTGTGACTTCCAGTTATTTTGCCTGTTTGTTTTTTTTCCCTTCGCAGTGCCACGGGTTGATCCAGGACTTTGTGTGTGCTCCGCAAGCGCTGTCCCACTGAGCAACATCCCTTTATTTATTTATTTTTTTTTTTATTATTTTTGTGGTACTGGGATTGAACTCAGGGCATTTGCACTGAAGCTCCATCCCCAACGATCTTGCTAACTCCGCAAGTGCCCACGGTGGGCTGAATGAAACTTTTTCTCTTCTTGCCTCAGCCTCCCCAGTAGTGGGTGGGATTTCAGATGTGCATCACTGAGCCCATCAAATCAAAGTGGTGATCAGCCACCCCACAACCCGGGGTGGGGCGTCTCAGGTCGCCCTAAAACCAGCCTCACCTTTCTCCTGCCAGGCGCGTTTCTGCCGCAGTCAGCCCTGCTGGCCGACACAGACTTCTTCCCCGGCACCGTGTCCCTGCCCGGCCTCGAGCCCCCCGGCGCGCCCGAGCTCCTGGACGATGGCTTTGCCTACGACCCCACGGCGCCCTCGCTCTTCACCATGCTGGACCTACTGCCCCCGGCCCCGCCGCTCGCCAGCGCCGTCCCCGGTGGCGGGAGTGCGGGCCCGGCGATCGGGGAGCCCCCCGGCCCCGAGCCGCTGACGCTGGACTCGTACGCAGCCCCGGGCCCTGCGGACGGCGGCACCGCCAGCCTCGTGGGCAGCAATATGTTCCCCAACCAGTACCGCGAAGCGGCCTTCGGGGGCGGCCTGCTGTCGCCGGGGTCCGAGGCCACGTAGCCCCAGAACACCGGCGGGGCCGGGAGGCTAGCGGGCCGGGGCACCGCACGCTCGGGGCCGCGTGGTCAACTCCGACCCCGCGCCCGATTGGACATCTGCAGGCCTGGGGAGAAGCGCGGGGCCACGGCTTCCCCTGGAGTCCTGTTTTCAGATGAGAAGGAGTCGGGGGAGGAAAAGAAGCGCCCTCTCGGGCCGACGGTGAGATCCTACGTATTGTACAACCTGCGGGTTGTTCGCAGTCTTCCCAATAAAGACGAATTTTTAAGCCGTGGAACGCCTCGTCTATTCGCGGGGAGAGCACCCCCGAATGTCCCACAGCCGACCGCCCATCCTCTGCTCCGCCCTCTCCCCAGGCCCCGCCCCCGTGACGGAAGCGCGTTCCATTAAGCTTCGCTCCGCCCCCTTCGCGCTGTCCCCCATTTCCGCTTCCGGTGCGGGCCGGCGCGCGAGCGCAGCAGTGGGAGGTGGCGACCAGCCGGTGAGTGCAGGCGTCGCGTCCCCACCTCCTGGCTTTCGGATGGCATTAGCTCGGGCTTCCCCGTGTCGGGGCCCTCAGGGCGCTGCCGCGGCCCCCCGCTGCCCCTTGGCCCCCGAGGCCCGCCCGCGCCCCCTTCTTCCTGACGGGCCCCCGGGCCGCGCCTCTACCCTGCTGTGGGCCCAGCTCGCTTGCGGGGCTGGCGCTGACCTGGCCCGCGAGCGCTGTCCGAACCCTGCGGCCCCGTCCCTGTCACCAGACGGAGCCCCTCAGACTCACCCCGCCCGCCGGGAGCCGGGCCCGCTCCGCCTTCCTCCTCCCCGGACCCCTCCCGGCTGCAGATCCCGTCTGCACGCACCGGCCCGCCCGCCCTCTCCCGACGGCCTCCTCCGCAGGCCTCCGTCCAGGGCCGTCGCTCTCCGTCCACACCCTGCACCTGCCCTCGGCTGCCACCTGCGCGCCGCGGCCCGATTCCTGTAAAGTTTGCCCCTCCCCAGGCCCCCGTCCCGGTCCCGCGCCCGCCGATGTCCCTTGCAGCGCTGCCCTTTGCTCGGGCCCCTGCTCCCGCTGCGGAGGCTCTTTCATCCCGGCGTCAGCGTCTGGGACGCTCCTTCTGGCAGGTGCTCGCGCTAGCGTCACCCGGGAATCCTTAGAATGCCCGAAAACTCCTGGGTCGGAGTTGTCAGGGATACCCGCGAGCATCTGGCCCGCAGTTCTGCAGCCTCGCTTCCCCTCCCCGAAGCGGAGGGGCAGGGTACTTAGGCTCGTCGCCGTCCCCGCCTTGGTAGGTGACTGTGGCTGTGCCCGTGTGGCGTTTACAGCCTGTCTCACACCCTCGGCCCCCTCATCCCCCAGGTTGAGGCCCCAGGCTTGGCCTCACCACAATGTGGCACGAAGCTCGGAAGCATGAGCGGAAGCTTCGAGGCATGATGGTTGACTATAAGAAGAGGGCAGAGCGGCGGCGGGAGTACTATGAAAAGATCGTGAGTGACCGGCCTTTCCCGTGGAGCGGGAGGGCCTCCAGAGGGAGGGGCCCTGGTCAGTCAGCCAGGGAGAATCTGGGCTCGGAAGTGTGCCAGGAGTAGAGCTCTGGCTCCTCGGGAGACTTGTCCTTAGTTGTTTCTGGAGCATAGTCATTGGTAAGGAAGGGCCTGCGGGGTCCAGTTGCAGTACTATTTGGTGAGGCCCAGGGGCGCGGATCTAGTGTTACCCGGAAATAGGGGAGACTTTGTAGCCCTCTGAGCAGTGGGGACAAGGACCAGCCTCCTCCGAACACCCTGTTGCCTTTTGCTATGTTCCCAGGGCCAAGAAGAGCTCAGCTACTCTTGGGGTTTGCTTGGCCCCTAGTAGCAGTGCCATTAGTAGTCACTAAGGGACCACTTTTCTTTTTTTCTATTTGATGCTTCAGTTGCTTTTTGAGAAAAAAATTCAAGACCCTAAGCCTTGGCCTAAATGGCCCTTGTGGCCTGGCTTCTGCCAGCCTCTCAGCTACTTTCTTGTACAGCTCCCTTGGCCTTTTTCAGTCACTGCCACAAGAGTGCTTTGGCCTTTGACACTTTCCCTTACCTGTTTAACTTGCACTTGACCTTGGGACCCCAGGTTGAAATGGTGCCACTGTGTTTACCGGGCTCGGTTCTGTTAGGTGATGTTTGTGGAGATGTTGCCATTTACTATGGCGTCACTACCCAGCCTCCTTCCTGCTCTCCTGGCTGTCTTGTCCCTTCCAGCCCATGCTTTAAAGGGGGGCCTGAGAGGGCTTTCAAAAGCACAAAGCTGGCCTGGTCCGACCTCCTTGCTCAGAATGCCTCTGTGGCTCTTTAGTCCCTTTGGGAGAAATCCCAGGCTCCTCATCATAGCCTGTAAGGGCTGTTTTTTCCCCTCCAGTGCTAGGGGTAGAGCCCAGGGCCTTGCCATGCTAGGCACACACTCAACTACACAGCTACCGACCCAGCCCTCATAGTCTGGCTTTTGCCCCTCCTCCAGACTCTGCCACTCCTCTTCTGTCTAGGTCCCTTGCTGAAGCCATCCTGGCCTCCTGGCTGTTCCTCCATTGACTCCAGCATTCATCAGCCACAAGACCTTTGCAGGACCTTTTCCCTTGCCTGCTTAGCCTCTGCTCGTTGTCAGATCTCAGGCTTCAGGGAAGTCTTGGCCCCCAAGACTTCCTGTAAATGCCGTTATAGTTCCTCCTTTGTGAAGTGTCATACATTTGAGATACAGATGTATAAAACAGGTTTATGGACATACATGTGTGCCTGTGTGTGTGTGTGCGCGCGCGCGCGTGCACACACACACACACACACACACACACTCCCCCCCAGTCCCATGAGATTGGGTACTAGATGTATTTACGTCACATTTGTGTCCAGGCTTTGAGTCTGATAAATGCTGTATTAAAAAATGGATTAGGGAAGGAAAATATCAATCAATAGCAGTCACCTATTCTCCAGCATCAGGCCCAGCTCTGCATTCTGTGTAGGCGTGTGGAAGCCTGACCTCCCAGCTGTCCACCTGGGCCTGCCTTGTGGAATATGACAGACAGAGATGAAGCAGCTTGTCCAAGGAGTAAGATGCCTTTATGGCTAATTCCTTATCAGGCTATGTGAGAAGGCTTAGGTGCGTGGATGTTTTTGAGTCCCATAGTCACGCATAAGACAGGCTACTTTTGCCCCACACTGCAGAGCAGGGGAGCTTCCTGAGCTCCTCTCTTGCCTCTTGTCACCCAGGAAAGATCTGCTGGGTAGAGGGAGAGCCCATCTCTGGTGGCATTGGGAAAGCTATAATGTGACCCAGAGGACGGAGCCTGGGTCATAGTTGAGGCCTCAGCAGAGGGCTGGGAACACACTACACGCTCAGGCGTGAATAGCTGCCATTTATGAAGGACATGGTGTTCTAGGCCCAGTGCCCACCGCCTGGGCACCTCGTTCCTCGTCCTTTGAGCAGGCCCGAGAGGTGGCTCTTGCTGCTCCTGCGCAGAAAGTGCCACTGAGATCATGGCTCACGTAGTGACTTATGTGCTCAGTGCCTGGAGTATGTCCCTGCATCCTCAAATTCTCACCTCAGACAGGAAGCTGCTCTTCATATCTCTGTTTACAGAGAAGCAAGGGCTCAGGAGTCGTGGCCTGGCCCAGCTCTGCATTCTGTGTAGGCGTGTGGAAGCCTGACCTCCCAGCTGTCCACCTGGGCCTGCCTTGTGGAATATGACAGACAGAGATGAAGCAGCTTGTCCAAGGAGTAAGATGCCTTTATGGCTAATTCCTTATAGTTTGGAGTCTTACGGTTCTGGATTCAAATTCTGACTATTCTACTTACATATTCTGTGCCTTGGACCAGACACTATCTCCTTGGGACTTGTTCCTCTGCATGTGAGGTGACATGTTGTGTCCAGTCATATTTGGGTGTAACAGACACCTAAAACAAGATTACTAGCTCACAGGAAAGCCCAGAGACAGTCAGTTCTGCTCAGCACCTGATGACCGATTTTTGTTTTCTTGCTAGGTGCAGCTTCTCTAACCAGACCTGTCTCAAGGTCTGAGAGGGCTGTTCAGACTCTAGCCATCACATCTTCACTGCACCTAGCAGAGCCGAAGAAGGGAGGGAAAGGGCCAAAGGTACTTGTGCTAGTTGTTAAGGTTTTTTTTTTTTTTTTTTTTTGTCTTTTTGAGACAGGGGCTCACTCTGCAGTGCAGGCTGACCTTGTACTCACAATGATCCTCCTGTCTCAGCCTCCCTAGTGCTAGGATTAGCCTCCACCATGCCTGGCCTTGTTCAGGTTTTAGATGTTTATTAGGACCCTTTGCTCTTACCACACTGTCCATAAAATAGTCCCATGTTCACACCCCACTCAGAGGTATAAGCGTTATTCTGGTCTCAACTGGATGTATGTGTGACAGGTTCTATTACTGTTGCAGCAATTAGCAGAGGACGAGAGCAGCTCCCTTACAAACTTGTTGGAAGGCTGGGCACACAAGCCGGCATGTACACCCACCTGGGGCATTGCTTGCCTCACAATTATGAGCTCTCATCATTGATGTGGGAAGGAGCTGGAACTTGGATCGGGTCCACGGATGGCCTGAAAGAAGCCTGGAATTGGCCACTCAGGAGGCCTTGTTAGCAGCGAGCCTCCCAGAGTATTTTCCCCTCGGGACAGGGTGATGATCAGCCCCTCTTGCTGGAAGACACGGAGACCTTTGAAACAAGTCTGTGGGTGCTTTGTGGTGCGGGCTGGTACAGGCAGCCAGTGTCCCCGACAGGAACGTGATCAGCATGCAGATGGGCGCCACCAAGCTGCGGGAGACTGCCCGGCACTGGCCGAGGCTGCCTAGAGGAGGGGATGAGGCTGCTCACCCAGGCCTCTCATCCTAGTCTCAGCCCCAGAGGGGGGACGTGGGGCGACCGTGCCAGTCTGGATGAGTGTGTCCTGAGGCAGCTGGGTTCTGAGTTCCTGATTTGTCCTTGGTGTCTCTTCTCTCCTCTTCAGTCCCTAGTTGATTCCGGTTCTGTCACTGCTCCTGTTCTTGTCGGCGTATTTATTCAGTGACTTGGGGAATAAACAGGTCCCTGCTCAGATGTCTCCTCTTCCAGGAAGGCTCTGCTCACCCCTCGGTCGGGTCAGGGGTCCAGGCGCTCCCCGATCCCAGCACTTTCACACCGTGTCATCCCCTGAGGGCCCGTGAGGCCAGGCCCCTGGCTGGCTGTCACTGTGTGCTCCAGCGCAGGGCCCAGCACGCAGTAGGTGCCTGCTGAGCAGTCAAATGAGTGAATAAACGAAAGCCTTCACGAACCTCTCAGCCCGC